GCTTTATAGTAGCAAGCCTAATCGCAGGCTAAGGGCTCGCCCGATTACAGGTATCGGCAAATATTTAGCCGATTTATAAATTAATTCGAGTATTTAAAGCTCATGTCAAGTCCGTATAAATGTAAACAAATACTTTGTTTACTTTTTGAACTGCTATATTATATTATATTTGTAAAATAAGACTAACACTTTTCTGGTTCGTAATTGTAAATGAATATAAACTAGAGTACATTTTAATTCAAAAAAGTTACAAAGTCAAGATGCAAAAATTGTGCAATTTTTATATCTGTCATCTGGGGAGTGTGAAACAATCAAATATTATTTACTGGCTGAATGGCTGATTAACCATTTCACAAAGGAAACTCATTTGAATTCACAAGTGTTCACCGCACATAATAACAGAAATAGTCATGTGTCATGTGTGTTGTTATGCATTTCATGCAGATTGGAAACTGAAAGTTAAAAGTATGCGAGCAGCACAAGCAATCAAAATTGGACGTCAAAATATTGCACTTCAAATATTATAACATAACACAGTAACACACCATGAAGCCGAAATATTTGAATATTCGGGCGCCGCATGATCGAGCTTTCGAGTTTTCAACCAATGAGGAGAGTGCCGCTGTGAAATCTAATACCTGGTCGTTTGTATGGGAATATATGTGCAATTTTGATGCGAGGGGTTCCTTTCATGTGTCAGTGCGATGGAAGCGATACAGACTGATTAAAATGGCTTTAGTATTTTCATATTTCAACCATAAAGATGGCTTTAAAACAGAGTGAGGAAGAAGCGAGCATGGTTGCAGTTTGTATTTGAATGACAACGCCAACGGTCTGGCCGCCAAATTATGCAATTCAAAACGTGTGGTTCACAGCGTCAATACTAAGAATTCCGCTTTGATAGAGAAGTAGACGAAGTGGTTTATACTAGTTCGCTTGTAACTTCAAAGATGTGATAAACGTACGTCGAAAGGAATAAGGTGAGTTAGTATGATAATGCTAGAATTATAATGTAATGATTGTTGTCTGCGATTGTCATATAAATATATGACCGCCACCGCTTGAACATTGACGCTGAGGCTATGCTCTACATTGTGAATTTGCAGTCTCAGTTATAAAGAAAACTTGCGCGCGTTTTGATATACAAGCAGCTTTGTCTGACTATTTTATCTTGCGTTTACTGTTTTCATTTCAATTATAAGCTTAGGACAAGTATTTTAGAACCCGAGTTGGAAAATCGGAAATGGCTGTTCAAAGCCCAACCTCGACTATATCATATACATATAGGAATAGAGGATTTTGTGCATTCTATTCAAATTAATATGCACAAGAACACAGACAACAATATTTTATTAAATTTCAATGGCAAACGGTAATGTTTTTATATTGATTATATACTGAACGGTGGAATTGCTTTTATTAATACTCTGTGTATAAGATGATATACAGTATACACTACACAGCTGGACCTGGCTCCCATTGGCCATTGATAGGTAATATTACCTGGCATAAGATCCCCTGGCAAATAAAATCAAAATTGTCTGGCATGAGACAGAATAAAACAATAAAATAAGGTACTGCATATTTGGAAACATTGCAGGTTAATGGTTAAAAATCAAATATAAAATTAGAAATTAGAGTTGGCAAAAAATATTCATGAAGCACCAGCTCCGACAGGGGGAGTCCTGACTATTAATATTTAAGAGCAAAAATATTGATTATTATATAATGTTCACATTATAAAATTGCCAAACATAATTCTATTTCTCAACCATGTCAAAAGTACCCTGGGTGCCAGAGCCTCTTGTGATAGAGGTGAGACGACGAGGAGGCTCTGGTCACATGAGTATCCAGCCTCACTTTGGTGAGTTCAATATTTGAACTCTGTTTGTGATTGGTCTAAATTTATGTGAGTCTTTTCATTGGTTGGCCGATGAGCTTAATAAATTGCTTATTGCCACACCTGATAGAATCTCATTTTGAAGTAGAATAATTGCTACTGTACATGTAGTGTTAAGGTGAGATGGCGCATCTCTTATCCGTCCTGGACAAATGGCGCATTTGACACAGGTAACACTATAATGAAGTAATTTTTCTTTCTTGAAATGGCCATGTATCGTTATGATTTTTCAATGGCAAAATGCAATTGGACTTCACCAGTGATTGATTATATAGTTAAAGGGCACTTGCTCAATGGCTTCCCTGTTAGATACTGTATTCCTTTCAAAGTAGATTAATTGCTACATGTAGTGTTAAGGTGAGATGGCACATCTCTTAACCGTCCTGGACAAATGGCACA